ACACACACACACACACACACACACACACACACACACATGTAAACAAATGTTTTTGCCTTGAAGATAAATAGGATCTAGAATCTGTTTCCTGGTGTTGATCAAAGTTCCTCATCTCCCGGATGGATTTTGAGACTTACGTTTTCTAAGGATCTATCGTTTTCTTCTACTTTTGTTTCATCTTTTAGATCTCACTAGGGCCTAATTATCTTGCTTTTGTTCCAGTTCTCTTGTTCATTTCCCCCCCCCCTAATTCAGAGGGCCACTGTTTAGTTTGAGGTAGATGAAAGGAAAAGGGTTCCAAGTGAACAAGGTCAGTAAAACACAGGTATGTATCAGGTTGGCTTTGAACTTACTATGTAGCTCAGGTTGGCCTGGAACTTGCAATCATGCAGCCCTACCTCCCAAGTGTTAGTATTACAAGTGTGCACTGTTACATCTGGTTCTTTTACTTTTCCTGACTTGGATAGATTGGATCGAGGATATATTTGTCCTCAATTAAAACATGTTTCTGGATTTAGGTGATGTTACTTAGTGTGAAGTGAAAGCAATCTTCAGGGGTTAATCAAAATTATATTTGCCTACTCAGCTATAAGTGTTTATACTGGTTTTAGAATTTTCTTCAGTATTCTGCTTCTTAACAATGAAACAAGTATGATGAAACCAAGAACTCTTAATTACTGACATGATGAAAGAATGTTCAATGCTTCCTTGATTTCCAGTTTTACGCGTGTCATAAACCATTTCAGTGAATCATATCAGGTAAGCGTCATGTTAATATATCTTACCCTGATGATCTTAACCTTGGGTCACTTGGCTCTTCTGGGCTTATCTACTATATATCAATTATAACTAATAATATCTGGGAGGATACTTTGAGACTGTACAAATATCCTGTTTGTCCTCAAACTTAACCTACCATGTTTTTCAAGGTAGAGTTCTCTGGAAATAATGAGTGTGTGCATATGTGTATGTGTTCCCATGTGTGAGGTGTGCATGTGTGCAGCAGGTGCATGTGGAGGCTAGAGGTTGACACTGGGTGTTTTCCTCCATCACTCTCCACTTTCACATTCTGAAGCAGGGTCTCTCCCTGAGTCCATGGTTTATCAGTTAGGCAGGCTAGCTAGCCAGCTTGCCCTTGGGATCCCCTGTGTCTACCTGCTGAGTGCTTGGATTACAGGCTGGCTGTTAATGCCTGTGCTGTTCTATGTGGAAGCTGGGAATCTGAACTCTGGTCCTCACACTGATGTGGCAAGGGCTTTATCCACTGAACCATCTCCTCAACCCCATTACTATGGTATTCTAATGGGGATTTTCCATTTTCCCCAATTCCTTCTACACTTATTTATTAGAAGGAAGAATTGCTCCTTCTCCCCAGTTATTTATTTATATTGGTATGAACTCATGGATATCTATCTTCTAGACTATAATGTAATACTACTATTTATTTCATTGCCCAACTGTTTCAGCTTTGGCCATGAAACATCTTTCTTGTTGGCTACTGTAGCCTTTTGGTAAGCCCCATCATTTCTTGAACATTTTCTCAATTTCTAGCATCACAGCATGAATGCTCCAGGCTCATCTCCCCTTTTCCTGCCCAGCCACTTCTTCATGGAATCAGGGATCACATGTTGACTTAGGTCATGTGACTGTGGGCAAATAAACTTTAAAATCTCAGCAGCCTTACCTGGAAATAATTAGAACAGTAATATCTACCTTACAGGATTATATGGGAGTTACACAACACATGTGTAACTGGTGAACTATTTTAAAGTTTTAAGACTTTTCTTCTTTTGTTGTCATAAGGGTAGAATTTG